CTCTTTCTACTTTTGGTTTTAAGAAACAAAAAAAAACCCAATGAAAAATTACAAGAAAAAGAATATTTCTGATGAATTTATCTGAAAACCCAAGAGTAGATTCAGCTTCTCAAGTACAAGTGGGTTGTGCTCAGGTGTGGTCAGATGAGCCCCTCCCTCCAGCTCTCTCAGCCCCACTCAGTTCTTGGATAGGCATTTTCCTCAGGGAAGCAACGTGATTTCCAGAAAATCTAGATTTAGAGACACATATCTCCATGTCTACTTCTCCTTTGTAACAGTAGGAGCAAATATCTTAGACTTGACTGTCTTTGAGTCGGATGTTTAACTCTGGACCCATTTGCCAAGGCCAGGGAGATAAGATGCTCTGATTGGCTGAGACTGAGCCACATGCCAACCTTCAGAGGGCAGAGTCAAGACCATCCAAACCACAAGAACAGAGAGCAGGGAAGAGGTATCTCCCAGAAGATCTGTTGTCATTAACAGAAGAGCAGCCATTTGTTGGTAGAACAAACAAAAGATGTCCAGCACCCACAGTTGTCTTGACACTCTTCCTTCTGACACAGGCTTCCAATTCCTGTGCAAACCAGTAATGACACAGCTGTCACTTCTTACAGAAAAGCCACAGTCTGAAGTTTGGATTCTTTTAAGGCCTGTGCACCCATTTCCCCCTCTCCTTTGTACTAAAAAACATTTTACAAATACAAAATGTATATAAATATAGCACATGTAAAATATAAGCTGCATTATTTTGATGGGGTTTAAATCAGCAAAACCAGACACACAATGAGTAGAGCATCTTTACACAATGGTACATCTGCATTCTGCTGGTGCATAAAATTGTCAGAAACAGCCAAGCCTTTAGTCCTGCCATATGTAAGGGCTGTATAAGAAGTTGAATAAAGATGCAATTTGTTCCTAGACAGCCATCATTCTCCTATCAGCGTTCCCACCAGGCCATTCCAAACACCCTCGTATGCTGCATTCTCAGCACCCTATGTGACATAGGTGACATTCTTGGATCCTTGCTTTTAGTTTCTAGTTCTTAGGGTAATATATGACTTTCATTGGTTGACATCCCTTGGTTGTTAATTTCAATAAAGCATAGTACATTAAGATACCCAAAAGTTGTTTAATTGTCCAACAGCAGAATGGGGTTTCCCTTCCCTCTTGTCTCCTTTCTTCCTTCATTATATTTTCTTAATGTTTTTTATCTTTTTAAAGGAAGGAAGCTTTTGATGTGGATTGAGTGATTTTTGTTGTTGTTGTTAGAGTGAGGAAGCAAAGATTTTATTAAAGTAAAATATTTGAGTTATGCTATGAGAGAGTGTGTTCATATGAGCAAGAGAAAGGAATGCTCGCATTGGAGAAGCTCTCTTCTGTTGAATCTGGAGACCAGTGCCAACTAATGCAAGAGAGCCCAAGGCTGTACCACCCTCCTTCTAAGACAGATCCAGACACTGGTGGGGAGGGGACAAAAGACCAAGGTGAATGAGAGGAGCGACTACAAGAACAAGAGAGGCTGGAGAAGGGAGGTTCTCCTGGCTGCTTCCCTGAGCTAGGCTCAGCGTAGAGAATGTAGAGAAGTTAAGGTGATGGTAAATGGCTTGCCCCTTTCTCTGCATTGTGGGTATGTTTAGGCATAAATAACAGTAAAATGGTTTTCCTTCTGGACTGTAGTTGTAGGAGGTTCCAAATGCTGCATGTATTATGGAGAAGGGGGGGTGAGGGTGGGGGGTGAGTACACTTGGAATTTAGAAGACAGGACAAAAAAACACACACATAGGTTCTGCCTTATGTGCTTCTAAAGGGATCATAAGTTAAGTCGGAAAATAAAACCCACATATGATGGAAATGATCCCCAGCTTCTAAGTCAACAGATTCATTTCCTAATCCATCCCCCCACCAAGTATCGTAGGAGACCCAGAGAGATGCCAGCTCCCATCTGCTTTAATCATTTTATGATGCATTTCAGGAGATTTGAGATTTCTAAGAATTAGAAATCAAGTCCAGCCAGAAAATTTTTAAAACCCAGGCAGTGGGCTCTGTGCCCACAACTCTCCGTCTGCCCAAGGAATGGTGCCCACTTGCACCACACTGATCATGGCTACTGGGCTTTAATTGGCACTGAACACACAAAGCAAATGGCACAGAGAGCTGTGGTTGTATGCGAAGAACAGAGAGCCATTCTCAATCTCAGCCACTGCCAGGCAGGGGCTGTCTTTGCTCTTGGGGATTTCTCTTTCACCTACTTGGCGAGAATTCTAGACCAGCTAACTTAGTAGTGTTCAACCCTGATTGCACATTAGAATCACCTCCTGAATTTGGAAACAAATAAGTGCTAGGGCTGTACCCCAGATCAAATCAATCACAAATGTGTATATGGGGAGCGGGGACGGGGGGCATGCAGTCCCGGCATCAGCACTTTTAAAAAGCTTTCAGGGGATTCTAAAGGAAGGACAAGGTGGAGTCCTTCTGTGTTCTCTGGGAAATTGTCTGTCTGTCTGCCTCTCTGACTCTGTCTGAACCTTCCATCTTTCTCTTATTACTCTCTCTCTCTTCCCCTCCCTCCTTTTCCCTCTCTCTCTACCCTCCTCCTCCTTCCCTCCAATAAAAACTTTTGTGACAATGACTTATTTCCCCACGAACACATCCATCTCCTTCTAAATCTGAGAATATTGTTTAAACATACAGTATTGTGTTTCCCAAGCATTTTCTAGGACTATAGGAGATTGTTTTCAAGATGTGTGTTTGTAGAATGATACGCAGCACTGTTCTTCTCCTTTACCTGTAGGCCAGCCTGGCTCTCGCCCCTGGTGGAAGGAAAAGATTAAGAAACAAGTCACGAACCTGAGGAAACCTGGAGGAATGATTTTCCATTTCTCCATTATCCTTATTGGCACTTGTGCTCACACATAGGGCCATTTAGGACACCAGTTTCTCCATTTATTCATTATATAAATATATAGATTTACATGTAGATATTTTCAGTCCTACCGGTATATGAGGTCCCATGCTGAGTGCTAAATATACACTGATGAAAAAGAAAATACTTCTGTTATTTAAGTGGGTGAAACTTGAATATTTCATTGTCACACAAGGTTTTATATTTTTACATTATGGAACTATTTCATCTAATTCATAAAGATTGAATAGGAATTTACGGTAAAAAAAGGAAAGGGTCATTCTAGGTAGAGGGAAAACAAGCAAAGGCTGAGAGATGAGAAACAGGACAAGTTTGTCAGGATCTGTAAGGAGCTCAGAGGGGCTTGCATCGCACTTGGAGGTTGAGGCCTGGCGGTTGACTTAACACTGTGATGCTTCCCTGTGTCTCTTGGGAGCATGGGAGACTTTGCCTCCTGTTGTAGAGCCTTCCTTTGGCTGTGCCTTCCATCAAAATCTAATTGCACCACAGATTTTAATGTTTATTCTGTGCTTTGTTTTGTTTTTTCTCTCTCTCTTCCCTCCATATTGGCAGGTGGAATTGGGGGGAATGGAGATGGATAAATTAAATTCCCATCTGATTGACAGGCTATATAACACACACCCTTAGTAAGCCTCTTTTTAATCTCAGGATAAAAGCCCTCACTCTTTAGTAGTGAGGTCCCAAGCCTTCCTAGAGTTGGACCTGGGAATTTGAATTTTTAACAAGCTCCTCCAGGTAATCCTGTGGTACAGATTGGGAACATTGCCCTAGTCCCCAGCGCTGAGGTGAAGTTCAGAGAATGCCAGCCGACACTTAGACAGCAGTGACAAAATGCCAAGCGAAATAAGCCAGTCAGAGAAAAATAAGTATCACATGACCTCACTCATGTGGAATCTAATCAACAAAATAAACTGATGAACAAAATAGATCCAGAGACATAGAAGCGTGGAACAGACTATGGGACCTCAGAGGGAAGGTGGGGAAGGATGGGTGGGAGAGAGAGATCAACCAAAGAACTTGTATGCACATATACATAACCTATGGACACAGATATAGGGTAGTGAAGTCCTGGGGGCTGGCTAGAAGAGTTGGGGCGGAGAGGGAATGGGACACATAGATACTTTTAACTATAAAGATTTTTTTTTAAATGCCAAGCACTGCTCAAGGGCTTTGCTTGTATTAACTCATTTAATCCTACTGTAACCCTACAAAGTGAGCTTTGCATTATTTTTATTTTTAGAGTTAAGAAAACTGATAGATTTCATGTGACTTGCCCAGGGCACACAGCCAGTCATCTGCAGAGTTTGAACAAAGCTAGTCTTAATCCAGATACTGGATCTCCTCCCTAAATAACCAAGACCTTTAGGCAACATGACAAAGAGCCCTGGCTGTGCTGCAGGTACCAGTGGTCGCTGGTGACTGTGTACAGCTGGGGCACTGAAGGAGAAAGCAGGATTTGTAGCACTTGCCGGGTGTCACTGACCACAGAATTGAGGAGAAGTGTGCACAATGGACTGTGACAATCCAGCCATCACTCACTGTGACTGCCTGTGTCTGCCACGACAGCAAAGGCCGTCGTGAAGGTGCAGGCCAGTGGCTACGGAAGGACTGAAAAGGAAAATCCATTTCCCAACACAGCAGGAGTGTCCAGAGGCTTTGCAGATCTAAAGTCGTGCTCTGCGTTGGGCTAATGAGAGGGCCCAGAAATTGTATTTGGGGACTTGGATAGAGTGTCATACAGCAGACATGAGATCAAGGATGGGGCATGAGGTCAAGGATGGGAGCCCAAAGGCCTTCCTCCCCACCCCCAACCCCCATATCCTCATTGTTCTCCCCACGAGAAATTTCCTTTACCTCAGCTACACCCGCCCTTCTCTCTTGCCCAGCACAGGTCAAGTGCAGGTCTTAGAGAACATTTTCGGCTCTGCTGCTGCCTACTGACCAGTTGCCCTTCATGTGGCCTCATTTTTGCTCCACATGAAGCCTGTGAGGAGCTTGACCACCACAGCTATGCTGGGCTTGGGGACTCAGGGGAGCGATGGGACGAGATACATGGTGATTCTTTATCCTATTTCAGGTACCAGCAGTGCTTCTATGGGGTCAACCTGTCCAGTCTCCGGGCTGCTGCAGTGGATGAATACTTCAGACAGCCAATCGTTGTAAGTGTGTCCTCTTTACAGGCTTCCTCCCGTGTGTTTATCTGTTGATTCATTCATTCATTCACGCACTCGTGAGCCTGCATACACTGTGCTGCAGGCTGGGTGCTAAGCCATCACAGAAGAGCATATGTTTTCAAGTCTTCCAGCGCTGATCTCCCAGTCAATTAAGAAAATTCTCAGAGAATGGAACTGTTGAAAGCAAGGCGATTTGAGGACTGCCTTTCAATAAGTGACTCCTAATTTTCTTTCTGCTCAGACGCATCCCCTGCTTCCCACTTCCTCAATAATTCACATCCCCCCATTGATTCCAGTGGTCCAAGGCGCAACTGAAGAGGAAGTGTTGTAAATAAATAGCTTAGAAGAGGAGCTTTGCTGGCAAAAAGATTGGGGTTTCAGTTGTGGCTCCCTCTAGCCGTGTAACCTTGGGCAACTTGACGTTTGCGTTGTCTGAAACTCTTCCAGTTGTAAAAGGAAGGAAACCCAACTCAAATGGCTTAAGCCAGTGGTTCTCATCCTCTCTAAGGCCGCGACCCTTTAATACAGTTCCTCATGTTGTGGTGACCCCCAACCATAAAATTATTTTCATTGCTACTTCATAACCATAACTTTGCTACTGTGATGAATCATAATGTAAATATCTGATATGCAGGATGTATTTTCAGGGGGCGCAACCCACAAGTTGAGAACCGCTGGCTTAAGCTGAAATGGAATCACAGGCCCTCAAGGAATGCACAGCCTGGAGATAGAGCTTCCTTCAGGGACCTGCTGCAGATGTTCGGACAGTGCCCCAGGCTCTGGTTTTTCTATCCTCATCACATATCCCCATTTCCTCTGATGTAACTCTGTTCCTAGGCAGGAGGCCCCCTCAGGGCAGGAAGATGTTGCGGAAGCTCCAGACTCAGATTCTTAAAACTCTGAGTCCCAAAGAAGAGCCTGCCTTTTCCTAACAACTTGGACAAAAGCCCCAGAATTAGTTCCGATAAAGCCTGATTGTCCAGTGAACTTAGTTACTGTTCATTGTCTTGGAATGTGGACAAGAGGTCAATTCTGGATGGTCAAAAACCACCACGTGCCTGCTCCAGAGAATTTGTGAAGATTGATATAGCCTAGTAAAGCACGAAATACTTAGGGCTGGGCATATAGTAACCACTAAACAAACGTTAGCTTGTATTAGTAATATTATTCTCATTAAGTTCATGCCTTCTAAAGTCTAACCCTTACTGACTTAAAATTCCAGGAGGAAAGCTAGACTGCAATCAGTCTTGCTTGAATTCAGTCTGTCCTGACAGAAAGATAACAGCTTTGTGTATTTTTTCCCCAGGACACATTTGACATTAGGATTTTGATGGCTCGATCAGTCAAGTACACAGTGAACTTTATGGATGCAAAAGAGGCAGATCTCCACAGGTTTGTACCAATCAGAGACGCTGCAGATTTTTAAATCTCCTCTCTAGCTCTCCCATCTCCAAAACTGCAGTGCAGAGATTTGCTGCTCACACCGGGAAGAGATTTGAGGTATGAGTCACCCACAGGAATAATACATTAGCACTCGTTTCCCTTATTGCAGAATAAGGGTAAGGATTGTTTTAAGAATTGAATGAGAAAAATTAAACAGTACATCTCTACTTGTATAACCAGACACTATTTCGAGCCCTTAACATATGACTCATTTAATCCTCCCAGCAGCACCATGCAAATGGTACTATTGTTATGTCCACTTTACCAATGATAAATATGAGGCAGAGTGGAACAATCAATTACATAAGGTCACAGAATGAATAAATGTCATGAGAGCTAGGACTTGAACCGTTCAGAGTCTGGGCTTTTTAACGATTCTCCCAGGTCAGTGCCCATAAGAATGATAAGAAGAGCTACAATCTGAGGAGTGCTTACTGCATGCTAGGTACTGTGCTAAATATTTCACAGGCACTGGCTCATTTTCAAAGAAGGCACTCAATCAATGCTACTGTTTGCCCTCCTTCCCTCCACTTAAAGAGACTCTGCACTGAGGACTCATTTCTCAGATGGTGATATGAATCCTCTTGGGTGACCTTTCACTAGTATTTTGTTTTTTCCTTCCTGAGAAGATCAATATTTATGTGTTTCTTTTCTGGGTAAGAAATTTAAGACCCAGCCAGATTATAATTTGCTTGGATTCATGAGGAATCAAGGGTCAGACTCTGGAAAATGCAGCTGGCTGACTCAAACCATTGCCTACCTTGAGATCACAATGGATAAAAGGTGTCAGTCAGGATAGGCCAAAACATGCTGCAGTAACAAAAAAAGGATCTTTAGTGCTTGTAATATCCCAGGTGCCTTTCTCCCCTACACTGTTTATCCATCATGCACCAGCTTCAGCTCTGCACACCCCTCAGTCACTCCTCAGTCAGGCTGGTGCGGCAGCTTGTGTCTGCTACGATGCCAGTCCCTGAGAAAAAAGGAGGAATGTAGCAAAATATGCACTAGCACTAAAAGGTTGTGCCTGGAAACAACACAGTACACTTCTATTCACATTTAATTGGTCAACATAAATCACGTGGCGGTGCCCGAACTCAAGTGAGTGGATAAATGCAACCCGACTGTATGCTTGGAGCAAGAGAACTGGCATGTGGGAACTACCAAAGTAACTACCGCAGGGCCAGACAAAATGACTCCGACTGGCTCCATTGGCTGCTCTGGGCTACCTCCCGAGCTCCAGGGAGGTTTTTGAAAACTCTGAGATGTCATCTATCTATTTGGGCATTGATTCAACAAATGTTTATTGAGATCCTACTGTGTGCCAGGCACTGCACTGGTGCATGCCCAGGTAGGAGCTCATGATCCATTTAGAGCAGCGGTTCTCAACCTGTGGGTTGCGACCCCTTTGGCGATCGAACGACCCTTTCACAGGGTCGCCTAAGACCATCCTGCATCTCAGATATTTACATTACGATTCCTAACAGTAGCAACATTACAGTTATGAAGTAGCAACAAAAATAATTTTATGGTTGGGTCACAATATGAGGAACTGTATTTAAAGGGCCAGAAGGTTGAGAACCCCTGATTTAGAGGAATGCCAAAAATGGGAGGAAATAATTGTAATACGATACCAACAAATTCAATGTGACAAGTACAGTGGAAATCTCCAGGAATGCGCTGACACTGCAGCTGGAGGAAGTTAGGCCTTTGGGGGCAGCATACCTGCAAATAATGTACAACCCTCTTTGAAAGTTCCTAGAGCACTCACTAAAATAAGTCTCCTTGGAGGAATACAGCCCAGGTGATGGATCCGTAATATTGCTGTTTAATAGTGAAACGCTTTAAAGTTTGCAAAACACTCTCATATGCATTGTTTTCCTCATTTGACATGCACAAGAACCTTGTGAGGAAAGTAGGAGATTTTGTTACCCTTCAACAAATGAAAAAACCGAGGTTCAGAGAATTGAAGTGACTTTGGAAGGTCCCACAGTAGAGCAGGTCCAGCATCTGGATGTTGTATCATTTCCAATCTTCTTTCCATTCCCACTTATTCTGCGTTTGGCATAAACCGTGGCCACTCTGCATGACTTCTGCTATAGCCTGGTGGGAAGGTAAATTGCCTCCCTGAAAAGTAAATGAACTATGGCAATGACCTTTGGAGCTTACAATCCACTTCATTTTTCAGAGGCCTGAGCAGCCTTTCCGTTTGAACAGCTGCGCAGGGGGACTGCCACAGCCCATGTTTTGGCTTCGTGAAGGATGGTTGTCACCTGTGTCCTGGGTCGTCCCCCTCGTCAGTAGTCAAACGCGGCTCCAGGTGCTGCGCTTGCCCAGCGGCGCTCTGGGCCGTTGCAGCACAGTGGTGTGGTCCTTGCAGAATTTTGTCAAGAGCAACAATCTCAAATGTGCAGCGTAACCCCAGCATTAATCACACCGAGAGCATCTTGTTGCCAAAACCAAAGCACTTAAAAGAGAAGGAAAATACTCTGTGAGTGTTCCCATTCATCTCACAAGAGTATCCAGGATGTCTGTCGACAAGAAAATGTTTCTTCTTTCTCTTTTGTTTCCTTGCAGAGTAGAAATCCCCTTTGTGTTTCAAATGACACAGTCTGGCCTCATCCACGGCCTGGCGTTCTGGTTTGACGTGGCCTTTGTCGGATCTCTGTAGGTATCACCCCCTTTCTTCACCTCTTCTCTCCCATGCTGTCCTCTACTGTTTCTAATCATACCTTTAAAATGTTTTAAAACTAATTTCAACTGCAACAATACTGGTTTTTACGCAATCCCAGAAGATAAGCACTGATGTTAGTGTTACTTTCAGATTTTAGGATGAACTGAAAATAAGACGGTTTTCCATAGTGTCATATCGACTCTGGCTCAAAGAAAGGAGTGAGAGAGGGTCTGTGCTTTATCTATCCTCCTGCTTTTTTCCAGAATAGATGTGGAGGGGCAACCATCCCATCTGACTGCAGAATCTCTTGTGTCTGGGTAATACCTCGTGTCATTCTTTCTCCCATTCACAGCCTTTGCTTTCACAAGTCTAGGTTCCCCTTTTAGTGACCAGGCAGGCTGGTCGTGCTGATGCTAATTGCAACATTAGGTAACTTCTCCATCCTGCACTTCTTTCTCCCTACTGCAAAGGGTTGGAAGTTTAAGGGCTTTAAAAGAGGATAAAAACCACCTACAAATTGACTGTTAGGGCTTGGGGCTCCTTGGAAAGGCGTCGCCACTCCCACACCCCACATCTTTGCTCTCCTGACTTCCCGGCCCTCTTCCTGGGCTTGCTCCAGTGCTCCAGCCAGCAAAGAGATTTGCTTTGAGTCACATAACCAGGCAAAAGGGAATCCTTCACAGTACCCCCTCCTTTATCCCTTATCACACCATCCAGGCTCGTCTTTGCACCTGCTGAAAAAGAAGGGCCCATGGATCTGTGATAAAGTTTGGGGTTCGGGGAGAAGGGGGTCCCTGGAAGCCTTGCCTAGGCTGGCAGAGGAAAGAAAATGATGTGCAGGTCATTCCTACACCACATAAGCATGTCCATTCCAAGATTCCATACATTTTTCCCTAAGACTTTCTCCCAGTAAATATCCCAAGTAAATGAATCTGAGAAGGTAATGGCAATAAGCTTTAAGTGGCCTGCTTCCAGCGGGAAATTTCTTTGAAGTTAAAAGCGTTATCTTCAACAGCTATAGAACATTTGCATTCTACTTTGTAACGTACCTAAATGTATTTTGGTATAAAGGTGTTTTATACTACTTAGTAACTTATATAAAATTTGTCCCCTAAATCTTCAAGTCAAACTATACACTGAAAATTTATCCCACGCCTAACACGCACATACTCCCTATAAGCCAACACCAATGCCAGCTCCACAGTCAGTGGCCGCGGTGCTCAGAGCACAGCAAGATGTTCTCACTTCTTCATCTGAAATGAATAACCTCAGTTTAAACACTACTTCATGCGTGTGCGCACACGCGCGCGCACGCACACACACACACACACACACACACACAGAATATCTAAGCCGGAAGGGAGGTAGAGGTCGTGCACTCCAGTAGTTTTCCTTTTTTTGGATTTTTACTAATTTTTAGAGAGAGACAGACAGACAAACAGACATTGATGTGAAAGAGAAACACCGATTGGCTGCCTCCTGAATGCCCCCCTACCAGGGATCGAGCCCTCAACCTAACCTGGGCAGGTACCCTTACAGGGAGCTTTGGTGCACAGGATAATGCCCAACTAACCGAGCCATATTGGCTAGGGCTCCAGTACTTTTTCTTGCTTCTAGAATCTTCATCAGGACCCCTGAACAAGTTGGCATGAGTCATTAAGAGCCCAGACTCCAAACTTCTTGAATCAGTTCCCAATTTAACTGTTACTTTTTGGGTTTCTCATGAACTTTGATTCAGAAATATGTCAACGGATGGGAAGCCTGGCTCTCCACTTGCCCCCTGTGTGACGTTAGGCAAGTCCTTTAACCGATCCGAGCTTACTCCATAGGGTTGTTGTGTAGATTTAATGGGCTAATATACATAAAGCTCCTGGGGCAGAACACAGCACATAATAACTGCTCAATAAATTGAGCTATCATTATCTTAAAAGGGTTCCATGAGTCAAAAACAATGAAAATTATCTATCAACCTAAGTCACCAATCCAATCCTATATAATAAAAGAGTAGTGTGCAAATTGTCCCCTCTACCAGAGTTCTTCTGGGAGTTCAACCAGGGGACAGGCCGGCCAGGGGGAAGGGAGGGAGGCCCCGGCCAGCAGCCGCTTGGGACCTATATTCATGCACTGGGCCTCTAGTCCATTAATATAGGCCTGGAAGATAATTAGCTTTCAACTCTTTTCTTGCCCTACAGGGTAACAGTTTGGCTGTCCACAGCCCCAACCGAGCCTCTGACCCACTGGTACCAGGTGCGGTGCCTTCTTCAGACTCCTCTCTTTGCCAAGGAAGGGGAAACCCTCTCAGGGAGAGTGCTGTTCGTAGCCAATAAACGGTAAGCAGGAAAGTACAGCCCGGATCCCACCGCTGCTTGTGGGTGGGAGCAGGAAAAAGCTGGCAGGCCCCTGAGACTCCAGCATTGAGAAATAGCAACTTTCCACAGGCCTGGCTGAATGTCACAGGGTACCCTCTGCCACAAAACTGGCAGGGCAGATGTCAACCTCACTGCATGTGGCAAGGAAGAGGAGCTTCGGGTAACCAAGGGCCATGTTCTCCACCTGAACGTGGAGGAAAGAAGGGAATCCACCAACTCATGGGAACTCTTGCCAAAGGGTTGAATTACCAAGTGCCTTAAATCCCACGTCAGCTTCCTGGCCTCACTGACACCTGTCCAGCCACTCAGCCCAAATTTAGTGCAATGAAACCAGTCGGCATTGCAGGAGCGGTGTATGGTGTATCAGGCAGGACTGGCTGCTTCCTGCTGGTCATGGATTTCACAAGGTCTCTGCAGTAATTACTTGGATTTATCTCATTTTTAATATACTCTGTTTTCTTTTTGCCTTTTTGGAGCTTCTCCTGGGTGCATTAGAGGAGAGAGGAGTAGCAGACTGGGTCGAGGACTCTCCGGATATTAAGGGTACTCAGAGGTCATCTCATTCAACTGTCTTCCCTCCCTACCAACCCCCCTTCCTTGGCCTTGTGCTTGAGCAGTCCAGGAGCAGAGAACTCACCACCTCCCAAATCAGCCCTTCCACTTTTAAAAGTCTTTATTTATTAAAAAATATTTTTTATTGATTTCAGAGAGGAAGGGAGATGGGGAGAGAGATAGAAACATAAATAGTAAGAGAAAACCATTGATCAGCTGCCTCCTGCACGCCCCACACTGGGGGTGGAGCCTGCAAGCCTGGCATGTGCCTGGACCGGGAATCGAACTGTGACCACCTCGTTCATAGATTGATGCTCAGCCACTGAGCCATACTGATAAGGCTCTTTATTTCTTTAATTACAAAAACCTAACATGCTCATATGTGAATTCAAAACTACAGAAGTGTCTCCAGCCCCCCTATGCTCCCACCACTTGCCCCACTCTCCAGATGTGACCCATTGTCCGTTTCCTTGGAGGTGGCTTTCTGTGCGTGTGCCAACAAGTAACATCCTTGTGGGTTGGTTGTTGTTGTTTTATAAGGAGATTGCACTAGCAATCTGAAACTTAAGATTTCCCTTAGTACTAAGTCCTGAATTTGTAGATAGATTTGCTTTGTTCTTTTAATAGATGCATAATAGTCTGGGGCATGGATATACCAGAATGTTATTCTTCAATCCATGATTGATATTTAGCTTGCTTTCTTTCCTTGCTATTATGAAAAGGTTTGCACTAAATATTCTTGAACATATAGCTTGCCCGTGAATATTTCTAAATGAGATGCCTAGAACTGAAAACGCTGGATTAACAAGTACGTACTTGTTACAGTCTGGCAAATTCAACCAGTTGCCGCTCACACCGGCAATGGCTAAGCCTGCTCATTTCTCCACATGTTTCCCTAGACTGAATGTTATCATTCTCTATGGGTTTTGCTAATTTAATAGCCCCAAAAATAATTTTTTAAGTTGCATCTGGTTGTTTTGGTTTGCATTTATTGATAAGGTTAGGTAACTTTTCATACAGTCTTAGGCTATGATGTCTTAAACTTTAGATATCTCTAATTATTACAAAATTATTCTTACTGTTGATCCTATATCTTACTTCCTATAAATTCTACTAATTGATCTTAGATATGTCTCTGAATTTTTAGAAAATGGTCTATTCCAACCTTCCAATGGCAGTTGTTCAAATATTTGGAGCGTTTTATGAAATATCCTTTCCATCTCTATCTTCAAGCTAACATCCTCGACTCCTTCCTTCTATAAGAGTGACTTTGAAATAGTCTGAAATTCTAAGTCCACTCCTCTGGAAATATCCAGGTTATCATTGTCTGCTTTAAAATATTTCACTAAAACTAAATACAGGACAGCATATGTGTTCTGATGAGTGGTGGGTACAGAGTGACAGCAAACACTGCCATGTTGAGTACTGTACTTATAATAATGTAATTAAAGTTTAAATTAAGTCTAGGGGCCATTTTACTTGAGTGTTTAGTCAATTTAAACAAAAATTATTTTTATATGATCTAATTTTAGGTTATATTAGTGTACAGCTGATTTTTGTCAGCTTTGGTTCCATTTCATATATATATATATAAATAATATAGTTCTTTAATGATTTAAGAGAGGGAGAGAGAGATAGGAACATCCATGGTGAGAGAGAATCATTGATCGGCTGCCTCCTGCATGGCCCCTGCAACCTGGGCATGTGTCTTTGGACAGAATTGAACCCGGGACCCCTCAGTCCACAGGCTGGTGCTCTATCCACTGAGCCAGACAGGCTAGAGCTCAATTCTTGTATTTATTCCACTCATGCATTGATCATGTTATTTTTAGTTCCTTAATAGAGCCAATGGATTATTTTATTTACTTTTAAAATTCTTTTGTGTGATTTTCAAATTTAATAGACAAATTTTTATTCAAAAATTATTAAGCAGAAAGAGGCCAAGGATGTACTCTTCCTTCAAAATTTGAATAGCCTAGTCTGCACCCTTTGAATTTGGTTATGGAAGTAGCTCAAATGCACCCACCTGGACTCAGGTCCAGCCCACATCCTCCATCCAGTCCAGAAAGAAAGATGACCTGACTTTTGTTGAATGTGATTTCAGGATAAGCTTAATCTCTGGCTTCACCCTCATGGCCCACTCCAATAACCCTGCCAAAAAGGGAAATGAAGCTAATTGGATGATGTTCTTATTAGATTTTAGTGAAACGTATTTTCCCTGTTTTTATACCTCATTGGTAACATTCTGTATATGTTTTACACATCTTCATTTTCCCAATAGTACGTCTCGAAGATATTTCCATATCAGTACTTTGAAATAGTTCCTTCTCTTCATTGAGTTATTGCATTTCCATGTCATGATCTTCTTCCACAAAGGTTATTATTGCTTCCTACAGAGAGTGAGGGCTTAAATGTGGTTTTAAAAATTCATAAGAAAATATTTGCTCACGTATTTTATTTGTCCCAAGACATCATTTACCTGATGTGTGTTTTATATCTGTTAGTAAATTTTGCTTGCTCTTTTTCTACTTGTTTTCTAATAATATCTTTGTATGAATGTTATGGTTGTTCATCATCCAATTAAAAGGACACTTCTGAACAGCAATTTACAAGAAAGAAGTTCCTGTGGTAGAGAAAGATGTGATTGTCTTCATGCTATCTGTCTTTCTCACTCACACTCTCTCCTTCTGTGCTACCACAGAGTCATTCTGCTTCCTGCAAATATGGCTCCTCTGCGAGTCTTTAGATCGTTCCACACGTTTAGTTCTAAGAGCATTTCTGGCAAAGTCTTCTTACCCCAATTCCTGCATAAGATATTACAAATAAGGAATCAAGCTTTTTCTTTTTGGTTCTCAAGTTTTATTCAAGAACTCATACAAAATGTGTCAGATAAGTGAGTTTTAATCATCATCTTCCTCTTCTTCATCCTAGTGAATCAGGAAGTAACGCAGTCCATAACTCTCTTTGCTTTTAGCAACTATGTACAGCCAGTCATGGAGATTATTCTTCTGCAAATATTTTTTGGTGAGATATTTCAAATACCTTTTGGAAATAGGCACCTCAGAAGTTACAGTGATCTTGCTCTTGCTTCTTTCCACCTTTATTCCCAGCTTTTTTCATTCACTTTGATTCTCTCCTGAAGAAACTGCTCAAAAATCCATGATTCCATCTTCTACAGGATGGGTGCAGTCACGGGTAAACTTCAGAACACGCTTCCTTTTTTTGACCCCCTATGCCACAAGCTTTTTAAGGAGGAATTAAGCTTTTGTGTTTCAGAAAATGCTCTTTGCTGTCAGGGAGTTTGTTATTGCAAGCATTTTCTGAGATGTGCTGTCCCTGAGCTCTCCTGCCCTTCTTTGCATTTCTGTATTTTTTGTTTTGTGTGGCTTACAACCAATTGCAGGTGCTTTTACAGGCCTTGCACATACATTGGAGACAGCAGATTATATCTTTCTCCTGATTTTACAGAAAATCAAGTCTGCGGTTTACAGTATATTTCTCTTCTCCTTGCTTTTGGGTAGCTTCCAGGAGGAAAAGTGGGAAATGCTGATTTGTGCCATGTTCATCATGGAAGTTACCACTTTCTTCCAAAATCCTTATAAACCATCTGTTTAATGACCAGTTCTAAAAAAAAAAAAAGAGTGCTCACTAGCAGCTGCCAACATCTGCCTGGAGTTTTGGACTTGGCCTTTTCTGCTTTGTGCAAACCAGTATTAACAATCTTTTGCTTTCAAATATTCATGTTTCTAAGGTACCTTAGGGTATAATTAGGTAAGTAATTTTAAGTCATCTTATTCTTTCATTACTTCTTTTCTGACATATCTTGGGTTGCATTATCAATCATATTTTTCTACCCTTTTCTCCTTTGTTTCCCTAATAGTGAGAAGAAAGCAAACTATTTCCCTTGCACACTTGCCTCATGACTCCCAGGGCTCCCAGTTCTCTGTCCCTTACTGTTGCACCACTGTTGCTTGCTGGTTTTGCCTGTAAGTGAGCTTCCCAAAAAACGGGCCCGAGCCTTACTCTGTAGTGTATCCCTCTTCACTTATTACATTCCAGAGACTCTGCAATATTGTGGAGTAAACACCTGAATGAAGGACTCAGAAGCAGATGATCCCTTTCTTATTAAGAACTTAGTCCGGTGCGATTGAAAGGAGACCGTAAAATGTCCTGGGCATATACTACTTTGCAGGAGGAACAAAGGAAGGAGGGTGGGAGGAAGTCCTTTATCTCACTAGACCAGTTGCCTTGTAGTGAATGAGGCCAGGTTTTGGGGTCTCATGTGTCTTGGTTCTGTCTAGTTTCTTTAGTACTAGCACCCCAGTTTCCTGACCTCATCATCTGTAATGTAGAATTTGTAATAATTATCTCACTAGGCTTTCACAAATACTGAAGGAGAGAAAATAATA